GCCAAGCTTCCCCCCGCCCCCGCCCCCCCGCTCGTCCTGTGGTAACAGTGCTCCGTCCTCTAGAGGACGCGTGGTCAACGTTGTAACCGCGAAGGCATGAAAAACGTAAAGAGTACGCGCCCCCCCCGCCTCGCAAGCGCGGGGTGTGATGACTTATTCTCACCTCCGCCGTCCCGTTCGTCTCCGTCCTCTTGATCTCCGTCCTCATCCTGAGGGGGCACCGGTGTCGTCGGCTCCACAAAGTGGGGGAGGAGGACCCCTGCCGCAGAGCAATCCAAGACGAAGATGGAAGGCTTTCCGGCCCAGTCCTTCAGGTCGTGGATGGAGAGAGGGATGTACTGGGTGATCAACTGCGGTGACACCGCCGTCGCGTCATCATCCCGGCGGTGTTGTGTTTCCAGTCCGTGCCGGAGGTGTGGAAGGGCAGGCGGAGGGGGGGGGGCGGGAAGAAGTGATTATCTTATGAGCAAACATGAGCGGATACATATCACGAACAAGTCGATCGATAACTCCAGCTGCGCACGAGCGACTCCTTTTTTTCTCCAAATGACGAAGCCTTCAAACATACCACAAACACCCTTTTCATCAAATTGGGCTAAAAAAGAACGCCAAGAAACAAGACCTAGAATCATCACAAGCATCGAATCCTGAACTCGGCACAAATATCGCCACGCACACACCGCGTTGTAAAAGATGGCGCGCAAGCTCTCAAACGGTTCAAGTGCAACAGACAACAATCGACTTTTGGCCTCCTTCCACAAGAGCTAACGACGCCTAGCCAGTTTATCATTTTCCCCGTCATCCCCGACGCGTACATATCCCTCTCTCCCTTACCCTGTTGAACACCCAGATCTCCCCGTTCGCCGTCGGTCGCGGCACCCCGTGGCCGTTGTAGTGGATGAGTGCGCGCTCGTTCCTAGCACTCGCTCTCGTCAGCTCGCACACCTCTCGTACGGCCTCGACGGATGGGTCCTCCGCCCGCTGGTACTTAGCCGTCTGCCTCGAGCCACCAGCCGCTTGCCGCGACCCGGCGGGCTTACTGCAGGGGCACGGCGCGCACGGGGGTTGGGGGGGGGGGGCATACTCTCATGTTTGCAATGCCTTAAAGCACGCGTCGTCGTCGAGAGGACGGAGCATTGTTCCCACAGGACCGATCATCCATGGCCAATCTTTCCTTCCTACTTTGGGGGAGGGGGGGGGCACAAGAGTGTGGGATATCTATCTGTCAGTGGGACATCAGAAAACCGAGCACCACGTTGTGGGTCATTCTGGACGCAGATACACCACCGCGCTGAAGGCTTCGGAGCGGAGCGGTACATGCTACGTTGCTTCGAAAGTATAGCGGAAGAAACGAAACCAACAAAACAAGAGAGAGG